AGGCTGCGCCGCCGTGTCCCGCCCACCCTCCGCCGGGCCACGCCTTTCACTGGTGCCCAGGACGGCCCCGCCTCTAGCCGAGGCTCTACGCCTGTCCTTGCACGCTCTCTGCATTTTTTTTTTGAAGAGATATATTTAATGGCCCAACTCTTCTCCTGAGTCTTTGAACCTCAATCGTTGTTTTTTTGGTTTTTGAGACAGAGTCTCACTATGGAGTTGAGATTGACCTGGAACTCACTATGTAGCCCAGGCTGGTCTCGAACTCACAGCGATCCTCCTGCCTCAGCCTGCTGAGCGCTGGGATGACAGGCTTGGGCCACTCCACCTGGCGAATGCATTTTTTTTTTTCCCCGTACCAGAGAACGAATTTCGGACCTTGAACTTGCGAGGCAGGTGGAAACACTGAGCTAAATCCCGGCGCTGAACCTCAATCTTAAGGGATCCCTCCCCGCTCTCTCCATCCTCGTGAGCTTCCCACACCCCTCCACAGCAGGCACAGGCAGGCCCCACCTCTCGGAGGCTCGCGGGCTCACTGCTTGAACTGTGGGGCAAGTGCCAAAAGCGTGTAAACCCTGAGAAGGGGGTAGGAAATGACGTGGAACTTAGGGTGTGGGTGTAGGGACAGCAGAAAAGGAACATAAGTACAAATGAAATACAGAGCTGGCTGTGGTCTGCACACCTGCAATCCCAGCATTTTGGGATGCTGAGGCAGGGGAATCAAAATGAAAGCCCAGGGATGGGGATTTAGCTCAGTGGTTCTGCCGCCTGCCTTATAAGCTCCAGGTTCTGAGCTCGATCCCTGGTTCCCCCCCAAATTAATAAATAAATACAGAAATATATTGAAGGGCAATCAGGACTGGAAATAGGTAAGAGAAAAATGTGCCAAAGGACACTACTTGTTGGTAAACACCCTGTTGAAAATATCTCAGCACATGCTTTTTTAAAAGCTGAAAATCAAATCACCAGACTTCCACTCCTGGAAGTGGATAGCCAAAGGGCTCGAAAATAGGGACAGATATCTGTACACCAAGGTTTATTGCCATACTGTCCACACATCCCAAGTGTTCACCACCAAATGGATAAACAAAATGTGACCCGTCAGCCAACTGAATACTTTTCTGTCCTAGAAGGAGTCACACACTTACACGATACACAGAAACTCTGACTGACGGCGCCAGACTCCTTGAACTGAGTCATGAAGAGGCAGAGAAAGGGGTTGGGCGTGGAGGTCGGGGGTGGACCTTTGTCTGGCATGTTTGAGTCCACGGGTTCCATCCCATAACCACAAAGTACAGAGAAAAGGACACATACAGCCTCTAATCCTGCTTATATGAAGTGTCTGGAGGAGACACAGAAACAAGATAGACCAGAGGGCAGAGAGCGTTGGGAGTCCCTGCTCAAGTTTCTGCTGGAGGTGGTGGCGCACTCTGTGACCCCAGAACGCTGGGAGGCTGAAAAAGAGGAAAACAAGTTCGAGCCCAGCTTCGGCAATTTAGTGACTTAGCAAGACTCTTACCTCAAAATAAAAATAGGGCTGAGGGTGTAGCTCAGTGCCGAGGCCCAGGTTGGTCAGGATGGCTGTAGCAGTGCACAGCAGCAAGCCCTGAGGATCCAGGAGGGATCTTCTGTATGCCCCTCGCCCCTCCGAGGAGGGTACCAATATCTGGGTGCCCAAGAGCACGATGTAAAACAAGGCAGCATGCGTCTGTGTCCCTTAGATCTCTGGGTTCTTACCACGACTGACCCACTGTAAATGCATGCAAGTGGCTGTTACTTCCTATCATTAAGGAACTGTTTCGGAACTGTACCCATTCAGTACAGATGAGATTTAAAATTGAGAATGTTGAGCCGGGCGTCGTGGTGCACACCTGTCATCCCAGCACTCGGGAGGCTGAGGCAGCAGGATCGCTGCAAGGTTGAGACCAGCCTGTGCTACATAGTGAGTTCCAGGTCAGTCTCAACTACATAGTGAGACCCGGCCTCAATAAAACAAAAAACAAACAAACAAAAAATAAAAAATAAATAAAATTGAGACTGTTACTAAGTCATTAAGTTGCCTAGGCTGAGCTCCAGCTTGTGATCCTCCTGCCTCAGCCTCCCAGAATGCTGAAATCACAATCATATGCCACAAAAAATGTTCAGCCTTAAAAAGTAGTTTTAGCTGGGGATGTAGCTCGGCAGCACCACGCCTGCCTGGCAAGGGGAAAGTCCTGAGTTCAATCCCCAGTAATGCAAAAAAAAAAATTTTTTTTTTTTAAATTTACAGTTGGCCGAATATTGGGATGTAGAAGTCCCTGGTACACGGGGCTATCACTGACTTAATGGCTTAAGGACAGAAAGCTTTGGGGCCCGTGTAGACAGCTGGGCCAGCTCCCTCCGAAGCTCTGGGCAGGAGCTGTTCCAGCCCCCAGCTTGGAGAGCTGCTTAGCTCATGGCAGTAGACTTTAGTCATTGAGCGGCGAGGGCCCTGCGTGCTTGCTCGGTCCAAATCTCCCCTTTTACAGGGACAGCAGTCACCGGGTTAGGGGCCCACCCATTCTAGGATGAGCTCATTGTAAGTACTCACATCTGCAACGACCCTCCTTCCCAACCAGGTCACATTTTGAGGGCCTGGAGGGTTTGGATTTCAGCATAGCAACTTTCAGAGAGGCAGGGGCCGTGGGGAAGATTTGGGGACGGAGGGTGGTGATGGCTGCAGAACGCACTCAGTTGTACCTTTAAAAGCGATTAAAATGAGCTGGGCTTTGGGTGCACCCGCGCTGAGGGAGGATGAGGCAGGAGGGTTGCAAGGCCCTGTCTCAAAATTAAAAAGAAAAAGGGCTCGGGAGTGTAGCTCAATGACAGAACACTCCTGAGTTTGATCCCCAGTATAGGAAAAGAGACACGTTTTAAGTCATATTTGTTTTGGGCCCGGGGTTTAGCTCAGTGGTTCGAAAGTGCAAGGACCCAAGTTCAGTCCCCAGTACCAAAAAGAAAAAAAGTATCTCATTTTAAGTTGTATTTGTTTTGTTACCAAAATACGTAAATAGTAAATAGAGGTAAAGACAAAGGCAAGGGAAGGGAAGGCAGGAGGGTGCTCCTGGGGGAGGCTGGAGACAAGTGGGTCGTTCTTGAGGGGAGGTGCCCAGCCTGGAATCTGCAAGCTGGCAGCACAGCAGTGTGGCTGGCACGAGGTGAGTGTGTGGGGACAGAGGCCTGCTCAAGTGTGGCTTTTCCTGGGGAACCCTTGGGTGCTAACGGGTGCGCTGGGTAGCAGTTGCGATGCTGACCTCCAGGGGGCAGACTGTCCCCTCCCCCATCCCTGTGACCTCATCATCCCCCAAGCCAAGTTCTGGGTTTTGCTCCCCCGGAGAGCCAACCTGCTTAGATTCGAACTCAGGCTCTGAAATTTCCCAGCTTTGGGACAAATCAGCCAACTGCTGGGAACCTGTGAAGGTCCGGGTGCACTGGTGCTTGCGTGTCAGGGATTTTGGGGAAGATGAGATGAGGCCATGCAGGGAGGGCATTGCGTGGCACAGGTGAGCACATGGTCCAGAGGGATACTGAGGGGACAGGGTTCCTGTCTGTAGCCTGGGCCTGGGGGACAAGCAGTGGACAGAAGGGCCACAACCCAGCCTTCGTGGTGCATGTGTTCTGAGTGAGGAAGCAGACCTCCGACCCCCATTAGAGTGAGATGTGGTCACCCTAACCCAGCCTGGGGCCAGAGAGGCCTGGGAGGGTCTGGCCTGAAGGATGGGATGGGCACAGAGGAGCCCTGAGGACAAGAACAGCATATGCAAAGGCCCTGGGGCTGGATCAGGGAATATTCTAGAACTTAGGGTGATGCAGAGTGGTCAGTTACACAGGGCAAGGATGAGGTTAAGGTGGGCAACAGGGCTTGCTTCTATATGGCAAAGAAGTTGATTTGGTTCTGAGAGTCATGGGGTCTGGTGACCCATTCAAGTCCATTGTGGCCTTTCTGCTATGGGAGGTTCAGACAGGCTGTTGGGTGCAGCGGAGCAGGGTGAGTAAGTTGCCTTGGGACCTGTAGCCACATTCTACGGCTCCTGTGTCTCTGAACATGTCTTCTCTCTTAGGAGACGGAGAAGGGCTCAGCAGCCCCAGCCCCTTGGAACACAGCCCTGGGTCCCAGCCACCATCCCCAGGACCTGCCACATCGCCAGGGCCTCCAGACCTAGACCCAGAGGCCGTGCGGGGTGCCCTCCGGGACTTCCTCCAGGAGCTGCGGGGCACCCAGCGAGAGCGGGTGAGGCTGACTGTGAGGGGCTGTGGGGACCCTGTGGCTGAGGACCTTGAGGGGCTACAGGCCTCAGAGCCGTGGTCTCCCCTTCCCCAATGTTGGGGCTGCAGGATGAACTCCGGGCCCAGACCAGCACCCTCAGTCGACAGCTGGCCGAGGTGGAGGCTGAGAGGGACAGCGCAGCGTCACGGGCCAGGCAGCTGCAGAAGGTGGTGGCTGAGAGCGAGGAAGGTGTGTCTGACCCTCAGGGCCCCTTCTCTGTTCTCTGTGCTCTGAGAGCCGCTGATGCGGGAGGCTGGGGCATCGGCCTGGGGGGCTTCTGCATCCCTGCCCCGACTCCCAGTCTGCTCCTTGGGGAGCCCTGCCTGCTCAGCCCACCTGTGGCCACACCCGCCTACCCTCGGGGACCAACGGGCAGGCCCTGCGGTGGTGGGGCGCACGGGGGCGTCTTGTACCTCGCACTGGGTCTGCGGCTGTGCCTGGCCGTGTCTGATGGGCCGGGGTGGTGGCCAC